AAAGGCTAGAAAGTATTTCCCATAAAAAAGTAATCGTTTGCCTTGTGTAGTACTTTTTTCACCTGTAGATCTACCAACATAGTAGAGTCATCAGTGCTACAGAAACTCCTCAGCAAGTGTAGCAGATTAGCTAGAACTCAAGGCCTCTTATAATGTTAATCAAACATCCTTGCTGCATTTTACAAATGGCATAGTTAAGAAATAAGGCATATATGCCACATTCATCACTGCAGGACTGCAAAAATAAGCAGGTGCTTCTTGAAATATTTACATCCTGACATAAAAAACATAAACCTAATGCAACCAGCTTTGGCCACCAAGTCAAGTCAATGAAGCCTCAGGTTGTTTCACGCAGTAAAATAGGTATCCTGAAATGGTTTTTGGGGCAAAACTGTTTCAACAAAGTTTCTTAGACAGACAGATGAAAAAAATTAAACAGCATCATCCAAACACATAAGGTAAATGGTCTGATTGACTCCTCACTCAATACGTGAGCCGTTTTCACGCTCTTTTTTCCAGAAGTATTGGGAGCTGATGCAGCATTTATGTGCCTTAGAGGTATTATTATAACTCCATTTGACAAGGGTAAAAAAGCCACTGAAAAATTGAAATTGGTGACTGGATCACAGTATAAAATTAATTTTTTCTGAGAACGTAATGTTTATTTTTGTCTCACAAGAGTGAAAATGAAATGGGTAGTTTGCAAAATGACACCTCACTTTTGGGTGGGGTGTGACTCTTCCATCTTTCTAAGAGATTTCTTTTTATAGAAAATGACCACATTCATTTTTGAAGGTTTGTTCCTAGAGGTGCCATAGAAATTAGTTTTGCAAAATATCTTTATACTTTGCCATCCTGTGAAGTGATCAGCTGCATATTACTGATTATCATGTTGATGGAGGTGTAAAATGTGAAGTACACTTGTAACAACACATTAGACAACTTTAAGCAACAGAAATTTGTTGCTGACAAAAAGCAAATTAAAAGAGAAAAGTTTACTCACCTGAGAGCAGTAGTAGAAGAGGAAGTATAATTTTGTACACCTTCATTTTTCTCTTTTATTTTAAACCACGGTGCGGAAAAAAATACAACAAATAAAAATCTCCACTGTATTTCCTTTACACAGTGAAAAAGATCGCTCTACCCTTAAGCAACAAGATAAAATTCATTATCTATCTCCTCCCACAGCTTCCTGAGCTTCTTATTGGTCTATAATGAAGCAACTGTAGAAATTGCTAGCACACAATACAGGGTGTCCAACTTTAGAAGTTTTGGATGTTTCAAAAATAAAATCCTCGCACATTACAAATGTGAACTGTGCAGAGTGTGTTCAAGGTACAAAACTATGAAATAAATGTTGAAGTCAACTCTCATGAAAAAAACAGGTTTTGCGTGGTGCAATTATCTAGTAATGCTGTCATGAAGATGGAAAATACTTAATATTTATCTAGTGATGGTATACAGAGATCCCAAAGCATTTTATAACTCTGCATATGTATCATAAACCTCACTTTGCAGATTGGAAAACAAGGGAGTGCAAGTGGTTTACTGAAGATCACACAGGAGAATTTTTCCAACCACATTCTCTTCTAAAATATTTAGTGTCCCAAGCAAATAAATCTTGTATAAAAATAATTGTTTATACCCTGAAAAGCCTTACTCATGTACAGAACCTAATATTACTGATCTAGCTATCTGTCCTGGTTCCTCTGTGGCTCCAATCACAGTAGTACCCAATTGCCTCCCCAGAATATTGCCTAGTTTTTCCAGGTAAGTAAATTTAGATGCATCACTGCAGCCTGGCTGAGATTACTAGAGACCCAGAGTGAACCCTTAGCAAAACAATTAGAATTTGCCATGGAAGGAAGTAGGCTGCATCTTATGACAGCCAGTTCTCTGACACTGAGGAAATGATAGAACAGAAGTGACAGTGGACAGCTTCTGTATATGGTACATGGCAGATCAGGAAGGGTCAAGAAGCACAGCAGCAGATAGGGCAGGAAGCAGAAAGCAAAGCAGCAGATTTGACTGGGAGCACAGGACAGATCAGACAGAGGAAGATCTGAGTGGCCCCTGGGGAGGGTGCAGGGTTAATTTGTGGCACACCTACCAAAAAGTGGTCCCTACTGTGATAGAAAATCCAAAGTTCAATAGGAAAAGAGACCTGAGGCAGAAAGGTATGGACTCCAAAGTTAAAGACCATAAAAAATCTGATAGAACTGCAAAGCCACAACCATGATTTGAAAAAAAAAAAAAAAGCAAAAGTAGTAATAGATTATATTCCTTTGCAAGAATTTGCAAGCACCAGAGCTAGGGGCAGACATTCCACATAAACTGGTTTAAGTGATCAGAAACTGGTTTAAACCTGTAACAGAACAGATGTTTAGTGCATGTAAACCAGTTTGAAAATGGCTGAAACCAATTTGAGATAAACTTGGCTGAATGTAGTATCAGACTTAACTGATTTGGGTCAAACTGGTTTATGCAATGTCTGTCCCAGACCCCTTACTGGTTTAAGTTAAACCAGACACCCCCAGCATCTTGTCATGCTCTCTGGGCTGGGTGGGGCTCTCTGCTCCACAGGAGAGCTGGCCTCTCTCTCCCCTCTGCTCCCTGGCCAGAGTTCTGGTAGAGACTGAAGGTGTCTGCCTGGCTTCCCCCTGCTCCCCGCCTCCTGTCCCCACTCCCTGCTAAGCAGAGATTGCCCCATCCCCTCTGCCTTACATAGACACCTCTCAGTTAGCTAGCAGACCACATGCTGGCTACAGTCTGTGCTGTGGCAGATGGGAAAAATGCAGAATCAACAGGTAGCTGGTAATGCCCCTCTGTTGTTATCTTAATGGGGTGATAAACACTGCGTTGGGGTGATAAACACTGTGTTATCAATTCGCTGCTGGTCTTGTCAAAAGTGGGGGGGAACCCCTCCCTAATCTGCGCATCCTGCCAGGGCCTGGCTATGCCCCCCTCAGCTTAGTACTGTGGAAGGGAAGGGAGGGCTGCTCTAGCACTGCCTGGCTTCTATGCTGAGCCACTGCAGACATGTGCCTGCATTTCTGGGATGTCTGTACAATTACCAAGTGATTTAACCTAGCCAGGTCAGACTAACCTGCAAAGATTGAAACAATTCAGGCTCAGGCTTTTTGAACATCTGTCTCTAGCCCAGCAGGGTAGGTGAGGAGATTGGCAGCAGCATCACTGGCTTAGATAAACTCTTCACAAGTGCAATGGACAGCATGGCAGACAAAGACAAATGGACTCTCAGCCTGAAAGCAAATACAACCTTTTTTATTATTATTCTTTTAAGTTGGAAACGGGCACTAAAGCCAATATTATATCATAAACACTTATTTGAGCACTGAAAGAAAAGCCACAGGAAACAAAAAGTAAATGGGTGAAGCTCTGTGCTTTCACTGGAAAACACTAAATTAAATGTATAAGCAAATAAATTGCGTAAGATACAATTTGTAATAGTAAACGAATGTCAGTTGCTGTTTCGAGGTTGGTATGTGCACAGATATCTTACACAAGACACCAGCAAATGAAATGCATAACAGATACCATCATAAACTGAGCATCAGAGTGCTCAGAGTAGAAAGGAAGGAACTTTGGCTTCCTGATAATACCAAAGTGGGCCTGGAAAACATTTCCCTGAAAATGCTGAGGAAAATACAGTTATGTTATTACTGTTATATTTTTACACACCTTTTACATATAAAGTACACACACATTTTGTGTAGTGTGCATGTGCACACTTTGGGATCTAATGAGTTAGTGCAAGGTAGCAGGTTTGGTATGTTCACCTTGTTGAAACTAACTCAGTACACTTTCAAATGTAGCATATTCATATCTCCATATATGCTTGTGCTCTACTACATCCCTGGTGTATTTGTTGGTGGACTCATTTTCCTGGCTAGGCCTCTGCCATGAATCCCTCTGGTCAGTCCAAGCTCACAGGCTATGGTTTCAGTGTGCATCATTTCCATCTGTGTGTTCAGGCATGAAATGCTGACCAAGACTCTCTATATTTTCTTACATCCAATTGGAAATGTCTATGGTAAAACAATCCTTGTGAGTTCAGAAGTGTTAGTTCTGAGGTGTTCATTCCTAAGGAATGTCTTGTGTTTTGTTAGAGTTTCATAGCAAGCTATCAGGTCTTATCTAGCAAATCATTACTCATGGGATTAAAACATTATACAAAATTGTTAAAAAACAATTCACTATTATAGAACTGAGGATAGTAATAAAAAATTGAAAACATGGTGAACAGTAAGACTATTAAAATGGCAAACAGTAACTGAAAAAATATTTTATCTTTATCTTTAATTTCTAGTCACAGATAGCTTGCTATAGTAGATTTTTAAGTTATAAAGGGGAAGAGTATCCACACTTGAGGATAGGTTGCTGATCCAGGCTGACCTCAATAAGCTGGGCAGATGAAAATCTGATGGCATTCAATATGGAGAAATGCAAGGTGTTCCAACTCTGAGAGGGGGCGGGTACCTGCATCACACTTATAGGCCCAGCAATGCTACACTTGCTAGCACCACAGCCAGAAGAGACTTGGGGGTCATGATTGACCACAAAATGAATATGAGCCACCAATGCGATACCACATCTGGCAAAGCGAACAAAACCCTGGCTTGCATCTACTGATGCATCTTGACCAAGACCCAGTTTGTCATCCTCCCACTGTACTCGGCCTTGGTGAGAGCGCAGATGGAGCACTGCATCCAATTCTGGGCTCCACAATTCAGGAAGGATATGGAGAAGCTTGAAAGAGTCCAGAGGAGAGCCCACATGCATGATCAGAGGGAAGGAGAGCAGGCTTTTTGAAGAGAGGCTGAGAGCCATGGGACTCTTCAGCCTGGAGAAGCGCAGGCTCAGGGTTGACTTGGTTGCAGTCTATAAGTACATAAAGCATCAGGATCTGTGGGAACACCTGTTCACCAGAGCACCCCAAGGGATGACAAGGTCCAACAGTCACAAACTCTTGCAAGACTGTTTTAGGCTGGATATAAGGAAAAGCTTCTTTAGTGTCTGAGCCCCCGAGGCCTGGAATAGACTCCCCCCAGAAGCACCTACTCTGGACACTTCTGAGAAACATTTGGATGCTTATCTTGCTGGGATCCTTTGACCCTAGGTGACTTCCTGCCCCTTGGGCAGGAGGCTGGACCCAGTGATCTTACGAGGTCCCTTCCAGCCCTAATGTCTATGAAATACAATTAACTCAGTATGATTAATGCATGTTAGGATTACCTGCTTCAGTAAGAGCAAGTTCTGAGAGCCAGATCCAATAAAGGACTTTGGCTCTTATGAGTTAGTTGCTGCCTTGCCTGCCCCCCACTCCGCGCAGCAGAATTCAGACACCATGAGGCATTTAGGCTGTCTGTACAGGACTTAAAAGAGAGTCAGGTCTTGGAAGAATGCTCAAAAAACCTCCCACCTGCTAAGTTGTGATCTAGCTAACTCTAGCTAATAGGAAATACTAAAAACCCAAGCAAGGATGTATCGAAAGCCTGGTACCATCTAGAATTTAAGTGTCTAATGCAGGCCTGCAGGAAGAAGCCAGAGAATAGGCACCTAAGTCTATTTGCTCTTTTAGAGATTAAAGCATGGCTCACTCTTTCCATTTAAAACTTCTCCCCAGGGCTACTTCTAGACCTTATCCCATGGTGTCTGGCTATACAATACAAAGCAGTCCCAGGAACAGGGGCCATAACCTAGGACTTCCTTCTCCTGGCTGAGCACCCTAGCCTACAAAGACAAGCTTTGGCTTCTTTTGTTGCTCTCTCTTTTTTTATAAGTCTTTTTTTGTCTTCTGTCCCATTTCATGGCTTCACCAGGAAGGGAGGAAAGTGTTTCTCCACAAGCCCAATCTATAATCTTCCCCACCAAAAAGGTGACATACTCCAAGATTACACCCTGTCATATTGATACTTTTACAGTTGTTATAACATAACCATGTCAGAAGTCCCCTTAGATCTACAAGAGTTCTTACAAATTCCAAGTGTCTATTGGAGATCATGCATCCACCCAAACTTTTGGGGCTATGATTTTATTATAGTTACATACGGAAAGCGAGCAAAAAGGACGACTTTTCCAGTATGTTGGGAAAGGCATCATTGTGATATGAGATTATAGGAAATGTTCTCCAAGTTCACTTGAAAAAAAATAAAGTGTGCCAAGATTTTGTAAATGTAAGCTCCTGTTTTGACCTGATAAATTCAGTTTAGGAGGAGCCAAGAACAGTTACAGATTGTAGAATAGGAAAAAGCACATTAATAGTTATTTTGCACCTCATTGAGTGTTATATCTAAAATATGCAACACTAAAATGCTTGCTTCTGCTAGTGCTTACTAATCAGGTGACTAATAAAGTAAAACTATGAGATAGCCACCATATCTTCATTAAGGCTACTCATAGCAATAAGAACTATCCCCAGTGTCTGCAATATCAC